TCATTAGTGTGTGTGTGTGTGTGTGTGTGTGTGTGTGTGTGTGTGTGTTTGAGAGAGAGACTGAGAGGGAGAGAGATTTTATAATCCTGAGTTGGATTAAGTGCCAACACGTCTCCCAGTGACGGGGAGAGCTTTCCCTCTGCAGCCTGGAGCTGTGCAGAATACCCACCGAGAAGGCGCCTGCGGGGGTGCCCTTTCTGGAGCCGGGTGCCACGGTGGCCAAGTAGTTCTGCAGCCGTGCCCGGCTCCCGTCCTTGCCTCTGCGCTCGCCTGGGCTATCCTAATCCAGCGGAACCTCAGCCTCAGCCTTTGCTCTCTGCGTCCCCCCGTTTGCAGGCCTGGTGGCACATTTCCACCCCTCCTCTCTCTCTCTTGCCCACGCTGCCCTGGAATATACCATGTGAATGTTTGTTTCCTTTTAGGCAGCGAATTCTGGGGAACTCCGGGCATTTGACTGGGGGAGTGAGACCAAAAATCTGGAGAAAGGCAATCAGGTAAAGAAATCAATGCCACCCTTTCAAAGTGCACGAGAGGGAAGTTCCAATGGCAGTCTACCATGGAGACGGGAATAAAATAAGAGAATGCGAGCGGAAAATAGTTTGGGTTTGACTCCATTTGAAAATGGGACAGCTCACAGCTCAGCCAGGAGGCCGGCTGCTTTGACAAGGGAGTAGGAGAACTTTCTGGAGAGTTTCGTGAGGGAGGCACTGGGCTCCTTAGGAGCAAGATGAGGAAGGCTTAGTGAAGGGAAGAGCGTGGTCTGCGGTGGCTACTGCTAGAAGAATCCTCCTTGGATCTAAACCAAAAAACCACCAGCGAGGGTGGCAGGGGTGAGGTTTCTATGGTACAAAACAAAGAACATTAATCTGTGGATACCAGAGACAGGGGTGAGGGGGTGGAGGTGGGAGATGGGTGCAGGGAGTCAAAAGGCACAAACTTCAGTTATAATAGAAATAAGTCATAAGATATAACGGACCACATGGTGACGATACTTGATAATACTGTATTGTATTTTTGAAAGTTGCTGAGAGTAGATCTTAAAAGTTCTTATTACAAGCAAAAAAAATTATAACTGTGTTGTGATGGGTGTTAACTAAACTTACTGTGATCATCACTTCACAGTATAATACAATCTTATAACTCGATTTTAAAAAGCTTGCTGCATAAAGAAAAAGAGTGTTAATTGGTGAGTGAGGATCACTGTGTTTGTCTTGCCTCTGCACTATACTCTTGTGTCATCATGGATAGGCCGCTCTGATTCTTCAGGCTTCAGTTTCCTTATCTTTAAAAATTATTGGACTAGATCACCCTGAAGAGTTCTCCCTGGTCACATTTATGACGATTCTGTAATTCGCAAGTAAAAAACATTTTTGAAAATAATTTAAGAAAATAATTTAAGAAAATGGGTAGTCAGTGCTATAGAATAAAAACAAATGTTGTATAGAATCAGAAGTGGATGTTATACTTTTCTGAGCATAAAAATCTTCCCTGACAATTATTAGTTAGCTTGTGTGTGAAGGTAAACAAATATTGACCATACAAATTTAAAGCCGGAGGAGCTAAATAGACACAGGTAATTTTTTGAAAGTCTCATATCATAGACTTCATTACATAGGTATGATTGATTAAAACATTAGCCATTGGCGATTGAACCCAGTCTTCAGCCCTGTCCCTTCCTGAGAGGTGTGGGGGTGTGGGACAGAAAGTCCCAATCCTCTAATCACCGGTTTGACTCTGCTAAAGAGGAGCCTGGATCTGTTTCCAGTTCATTCATTAACATAACAAAAGACACCTTTATGTCTCTCATCACTTAGTAAATTCCAAAGGTGGGTTTTTTTGGGAGGGGGGAGGGGGTAATGGTGGTGACTAAAACAGTAGAAATTTATTCTTTCATAGTTCTGGAGGCCAAAAGTCTAAAAATCAGGGTTTGAATAGGGTTGGTTCTTCCAAGTCTCTGAGAATCTGCCCCATGCCTCATGCCTCTCTATTAGCTTCTGGTGGTTGGTTGCTTGTAGTCCTTGGTGATCCTTGGTTTGTAGATACATCACTCCAACCTCTCAACCTCTGCCTACATCTTCACATGGCTTTCTCCTCTGTCTTTTACTCTTTCCTTCAAAGAACACTTGCCATTTAATTTAGGGCGACCCTAACCAAGGATGATCTCATCTCAAAATCCTTAACTAAGGATTATAGGAGCTCTGTGCCAGAAATGAGATGAAGACCAAAGGGAGATTTCTTAAACGTTGCAATATCACACGTTATAACTCCAAATTTTTAGAAAGTCACAAAGTGGAACAGGGGCTGGCTGAATTGGAAGCATAAGCTCCAGGATGGATTTTCTAAGTAAGAGATGGGCCTCAACATTTCTGTGGGAAGTTCCGGGTGCAACCAGTCTGATTTTGTAGCACTGTTTGAATAAGAGAAGTTCTCAAGAATTAAGAATCCTAGACACCCTTCTTCTAGGATGGGGGACTAGAGCAGGGATCTAATTTACATCTTCTCTTGGTTCAGACTACCTGAGTTCCAGTGCCATTGACCTTCCCATGATTTTGAAGACAAACAAGCTGGGCCTGCTTCAAGGGTTTTCTGTTATAGAAAAACCTCTGGGAAGATCCAGAGCAGAGGCCTTCTCAGTGGGTTCCATTCTCTTGCCTTTCTCTGTAGAATATCTCTAACTCTGGCCTCATGAAACGTCTGTGAAATTATCTTTTTAAAGGAAATTTATGTGTAAAATATTTATTAATAGGAAGAGAAAGAATTGAAAATTAATGCTTAAAGTGGTAGGCAATTTACATGTGTTCTCATTTAACCTAGTAAGTGATTACAGATACCCCTATTTCACAGATGAAGAAACTGAGATTCAGTGAGGTTCAGGAAATTTTACCTTCAAGTAGGTGCTGGAACAAAAACTCTAAATGCAGATCTGTTTGGAATATTTCATCACAACACGTGGCAAATTTAATATATTTATTTGGAATGTAAATTATGAGCTTGGAAGTCCAAATGTAATCTACGGTTAACAGCTTTTTTTTTTCCCTAGCCAACTCCTATAAGGTACAAAGTTGGAGACATGACAGTCCCTACGGCAATGTGGACTGGAGGTCAGGACTGGCTTTCAAATCCAGATGATGTGAAATCTCTGCTCTCCGAAATGAACAACCTCATCTACCATAAGAACATTCCTGAATGGGCGCACGTGGATTTCATCTGGGGGTTGGATGCTCCTCAGCGTCTATATAATGAAATCATATATATGATGAAAAAGGAGGAGACCAGCTTTTCCCAGGGAATGTGTGAGCTCAGACTGTGAAGCATCTGGTACTGACAAGTCTTAGGGAAAACCTCGTGGACGACGGGGCTGGGGTCCATGAACAGAGGGTTTTAAGGATTTCCAGAACTGGAAACCTATCCTATCAGTAGAAGGGAGGTGGAGAAGGGAAGGCAGAGGTTTACTATATATTCTTTCAGATTTCCTGCTTTTGGCACTAAAACTGACAAAAGTTTTAGCTAATTGAACTACTCATTGGCTGAACATAGGTTTCATGTGCTATTATATAGTTTACCATTTGAAGGGTAGGTTTTATTCGAGAGCTAGAAATTATCTATAGACAATTTTATTGGAAGAGCTAGAAATTATCTATATCCACTATGTCATTCAGGTAAACTTTCCTAAAACATGTATTTATTTTTCTACAAGCCATATTTTGGAACAATAAAGTAAAATGACAAATTGGGACGAGAGAGAAGTCTTGAATGTCTGGACTGTTGTTAACTTACACAAAATAAATTAGATACTTTCACCTTATTGCCATAGAGACATAGCATTACCTCAGAAAGCCAAGCTGCTTTAACCAAAAAATAGATAAATAAACAAAAACAAAAATCAATGTGCAGTATGGATAAATATATTTTAAGCATCTTCAAATGGGCCAAGTTGTATAGTTGAATCTCAGAGGAGATACTTTTGTAGAATTTTATGAGTTTTCCAATAAATGCATTATGCATTGCACAAAGTGTGTGTGTGTATTTTAGTACCTAGATTCTCTTTCAGGCTTGTTTGAGAGTTGCTACAAAACCTATTGGCTAAAAATGTCTGACCTGGCTTTCTGCCTCTAAAAATTAAAAGCTAGGAAGAAAATTTTGTAATGTCACCAACAAAATAAAACAAATGTCATGTATTTTCTCCTTTGATCTTGACAAAGTTAGTGCTGGACAACTGCCCTGCTCATTAAAAAATCTGGTTATTTCTTTTAAAAATTATTCACTTTTCGCACAGTTTCAAAGATGACAGATATAAATTACATGAGTAATAGTATAATTTTTCAAAACTCTGGAATCAGTAGAGCAATTTTGAAAACTTCTGAATTGAAGGTATACTGCTGTGTATCAAAGGTACATTGATGTGTGAGGTTCACTTTATTTTTTTAATCTTCTAGAGTCACTGGGTCACTCAGTACAGTATGAATGGATCTTAAATAATCATTAAGAGATAGTTGAGGGCTTTAGCATCTACATCTACACATTGCTACTTCTCTCACACAATATGTGCCTTACAGCCCAGTACATAGCTCATTAAATATTTTTGGATTTGATTTTTATTAGAACTTTGTTCTGTTCAAGGATGGTAAATCTTTCATTCTTAGACATATTTATTACCATACATTGTGTGGCTTCATTTATGTCTAAAGATATTCATGATTCAGTCTTGCTTTGTAAAATTTAATCATTTTTAAAAATATGTTTCTTTCCACTCTGTCTCATTGACAAAGGAGTTGGACAGATATTTTGATATTCTATCTCTCATCTAGAAGTATAATCCAAATACTACCTCATCGTATAGCTCTATTTCTTGTAGAGAAATACTTTACCCAGATAAACTACAGTAATATTTTAAATTTTATCAATAAAATAAAAAGAACTAACAAGTTTAGTAGCTGCCTTGCATTCACAAGAGAAGCAAAGATATTTTTAAACAAGCATTTTATCATCACATAGTCTTCTTCAAAGTCAAGGTGGCTTTTATTTGTAAACTGACAGCAAAATGTTTAGCAGTGGGCTGGTAAACTGATTCTCCAGAAAGACAGGAAAAGAAGCCTTGATTTTAGCATTTGCCAGTTTCTGTGGTGTAAAACCACTGATCAGTGATAATGTTTTTGTTGAAGTTGAAGTTGTTTTGCCAAAGGAACATTTCCATGTGGATCTCTAAACCCACACACATACACCCATCATTCTATACAAATGTACATGCTTCCATTCCTCCTACTACTTAAAGGGCCCATGGGAGGAACAGTGTCCCCTGGGCGTGACATAGACGGGACAGCCTCTCACAGGAGCCCAGGGCTGAGAAGGCAGGTCACCGGCAGAGCTCTGGCCTTCTTCGGGAGAGACTGAATCGAAGCATCACCTTTTTGACTGAAGTGGAGAATCCAACAGCGTCAGTGTTTTCTCCTAGAAGGATTAGGGCCACGGTGAGCTCCGTTGAGCAGAAACACGACTACAAAGCTCTTCAACAACATTACCCCTGGCAATCATCGCTATCCCCATATAGCGGCAGCATCCAGCTGAGTGGCCCACCGACCAATAGTCCAAGATGCAGACAGAATCCAGTCCTTTCACTCTTTCTGTGTCTCCGTCTGAGGCCACAAGGACTATGACGCTTTTCTTAGCATTAATTCAATCTGGGAAAATTTTAATCTTCGTGCAATATCCAGGGAACTTTCACCATGCTGACAAGAAAAAGAAGTTATAGTTATTTATCTCTAGTAGAGTCAAATGTCAATGCAAAGGGTCCAGTAAACAGTTTAGACTGATCGACTCTCAGGCTTGGCAAAGACTTTAAATGTTATTCCGACCTAACAGTAATAGGATAACTTAATTTTTTAATGAGGAAAATTAATTTTGCTGTTAACGTCAGAGGCAGTTAGGTGAATTCAACACAAGGCCGGAGTTAGAAGACCATGCTGCTGGAGGTACCTCAGGCCACAGGCCGCAGGTTCTTACCTTATTTCTTAGTGCAGGGTCCGCATGGGCCTCAAGGAGCAGAGGGATGAGAGTCTGGTTTTTCATTTCGCAGGCGTAATGTAACGCAGTGCAGCCGAACTGAAACACAAAGGACCAACACAACAGCTCAGCCAGGGAGCCCCACAGACCCAGACCACAGCGTGGGGCTTCTCAGCAGGCGCTCTTCACATTTTCTGGAGCACAGCTAAGCAAAACAGTCTGCAACCATCTCAGTGCAACAATATTTCTTGTCCTTAAAGTCTTTTCTGCCTCACTATGTATATTATTAATGTTCTATAAGCCATTAATATCTTCTTTTCTTATTTTCTGTTCCAAACTAAGAAAAACAACTTATAAAAAGCTGATGCTGACTCATCCCAAGGTTTCTTTGGAGAATTCTGTATGCCTGGCCTATCGGCACCGTGATCATGTTTCCACCTTTTCCCTTAGTCTCCACATGGGCCATTTTGCAGATATCATCATCTATGGTTTTTTATCAAAAATCCCACAGTCTGAAGAAGGTGGCTGGTGTTCATCTTTCTTCAGCACACCTATAGGACCAGTGCAGTTTGACATAGAAGCCCTCCATTCTTGGTTTGCTGTGGGTTATATTACGTATTATAAACTAGGGGATCTACTCTGTTGGTACTAGTTTAAAACACTAACTACAGGTCAAAAGAAATTTGTAGCTGGGGCATTTGTGCTAAAAATTTTGCCTTTCAAAGCCAAACAACCATGGTTTTGTTAAGTGAAGAAATAATATCCTTGACTATCAAGATTAACAGAATTGACTCTGGATCTTTTTCCCCAAAAACTCCTCTAAGATCATAGGAAATAATGCTGTAATCTCATATTTTTTAGTAAGTGATAGTACGCTGAATGGAAGATCTGGCTCTGAATTTTTCCATGTGAAATAAAGAGAGTCTAAAAAATATACGTTGCATTGCTTAAGGTTGGAAAATGTATCTTTATATACAGGTCATTTTTGAAAAATAGTGGTAAAAATATGTGCCTGTTTGTGCATATATGTATGAGCATACACAGGAATGTAATTCTCTATCTAGAGACAGAGATAGACATAGATAACTAAGAAAATATCCTAGAGAAATTTTGTTCACAAGCAAAGTTTTAAACATTTGAATTACCTTTTACTTAATCATTAATGACTTCTTAATACATTTCAAAATTATCTAAGAAAATGATGATTCACAGTAGTAGTATATCAAAATTAGTCCAAAAATTATATTTGGAATAAAAGGAAAAGCATACATTTCATAAATTTTCTCTCTCTTTCTCTGTCTCTCACACACATACACAGAGAGAGAGAGAAAGTAAAAAAGAGAGAACTAGAACTACCTACATTTAAACATATGATAACAATACAACCCAAACTAAAATGATGTAAGTAATTAATAGAAACAGGGACACTTTATCACAGAACATAGAATGGTAATATACACAGAGATGTATACAACATAAATTAGGGATCAAAACAAGAATATTGGTTTTTTTAGAATCAAATTATGACTGGCCCACTTTTTCAGTACAGAACTAGGAATCAAAAATTTCCTTCAGTCAATATAATCAAATAAAACTTTACAAATAAGCTTTGACCCACTTATGGTCATGTAAGGGAGGAAGACGAGCTCCAGGGTGCAGTCGCAAAGAGGGGAAGCCTTCTGTTTACAAGCAGGGAGAAGTCAGCCGAGGCTGCTCCCGTCACTATCACTGCTCTTACCATCATGTGGATTTTCCTTGACCTTTGTCATTTTTTTTAGTTTACAGATGGGACCCTTTGCTGGTTGGGATCTTGGCTGCAGTAGCAGCTGCTAACTCTGCTAAGTGTTTTACATGAATCACCCCTGTAAATTATCGATACCCTCATGTTCCAGAGGCGGAAACTGAAAGTCGAGTAAGTTTATAACTTGCCCAAAGGCACGCAGGTAAAAAAGTGGCAAGCCTAGGTTTACACGTAGGCATTCCGATTCCAGCCTCTCAACTACCAAGGAGGAATTCTGCCATCAGAGCCTTCGTCTTCCTCAACTTCTCACCAGTGGTGGAGCACTTTTTAAAAAAAAAAAAAATGTTCCATAGTCAATAACGATTTTATTCCCACGAGTTTAGTGGCAGTCTATAAACAACCTCAAGGTCACCTTACTGGCAGTGGGAAAAAAAAGAAAAAGAAATGCAAAAGGAACATAAAGTGAGCAGCTTTATAGATGACAAATATACTACCTACAGATACCATTCTGAATATTGTATCAAAATGACTAAAAATACAAACTTACACAGTCTGCAGCATTAATGTCGACGCCGGCATCAAGTAGCATTCGGACAAGAGTCTCATTCTGCTTTGTCTTGGATACCTATTGCAAATGACCAGGACAAGAGGTTTGTTTACAAACACTTTCTTCATCTCATGTCCGAACTATTCCAATCAATAGGATTTATTTTAATCCAATAGCCCTATGTGCCCATGTACCTTTTAAAAAATGTCCCCTGCCTCCACACCCCCTTCCAATATCAATTAGGTAAAGCCAGAGCTCTCAGAGTGTAGACCTGACTAGCATCAGAACCTGGGAACTTAGAAATGCAGGTTCTGGGGCCACACTCCGGACTTACCAAGTCCTACTGAGAACAGGGCCCAGTGACCTGTCTCCCTTCCTGGCTCAAAACCCTCCAATGACATCCCATAGCTCTGAGGGTAAAGCCAACTCTTCCGCCGGGCCTGCAAAGGCCCCGTCTCAGCCTCCACTTACGGCCTAGCCGCTGACTCTCCGCCTCCTGGCTCACCTGGCTCTAGCCACACTGGCCTTTAGTTAGCCTTTCATTCCCGCCAGGCTCCCTAGTGTCATAGAATAGTTACACTGAATATTCCTTCTGTCTAGAAGCCTTCTTCCTCCTTTCTTTGCCTGGTAACTTAATTTTAAGTATCTCTGTAATCAAAAAATAAAATAACAATAAAAAACATCTTTACTATCTCAGCCCAAGACCCTCTTCCTCCAGGAGGCTTTCCCTGACCAAGCTGGCCATGCAAAAACCCTCTCTTCTGGACTCTCATAACATTATCACTCCTCTGAACCACCTACCTCATGGGAATTTTCATGTTTTTCTGCCATTATTGATTAATGGCTCATTCATCACTGCCCTCTAACTCTCAGGAGGACTATACCTGCTGGGTTCATAGTTTATCCCTAACACCCAGGGCAGTGCCAGCACCTACTGGGTCCATAAGTTTGCATTAAATGATTGAGGAAAAGGATGAAACTAACTAAGCTTTGCACAAATCCACTTTTCCTGCCTCCTCCCCTGAGATTCTGACCACACGACAGATTGAGCATCCCCCTAATGTCCGTCCCATTGCTCGCCAGAGCACAGCTCTTCCTGCTCTGGGGGGCACATCCTGGAGTTCAGCCCCTTTATCATCTAGGAAGGAAGCTCCATCCAGTGGTCTTCTGTCTTGTGCTTTCCTCCTGTGTCAATGTCCAAAGTGACTTTCTCTTCTTCCCTTCTCTGAAGTAACACAGTCCTTTCTGGTCCCTTAACCTATCATTTCTTCTCATGTCATTAATCCTTCTTTATGCATCACAAATTAAGCATTTCAGGCCCCATAAATAAGTAGGGTGCATGTGCAATCAGAGCCAAGCTAGTCATTACAATTAGTCATTTTGCCCAGGCCTTCAGCTTTTAAATATTGGACTGTCTTAGAAAACTGAGTTGTGCATCAAAATATTCTGAATGAACCTTGCCAATCATAGTAGTGATGTTTTCTTCATGATCTCTAAAGATGTTTGCAAATGAATGATAGATTCCCTGGCCCCAAAGCTACAAATATTTGAATGTTATGTACTAAATACACAACTAATTTTTCAAGAACTTTTCAAAGATAGAGGCAGATTATGTGAATTATCAGTGAATTATAGTTTTCTCTCTAAATAAATTCAAGCATCAAAATCAACATTATCATATTTAATTTCAGTTCCTCAAATTCTGTAAAATTTAAATACCCAAGGAGGTAATAACATTTTTGATTGGTAGACTTTGTTCTGGAGCTTATGTTAACATGCATAACTAACATTCATGGTCTATTTGCTACAAAGAGAAGAGAAATTGGTCATCTAACTGGAGTAAATTGCACATCTGTTAAATCATCTTTCAAAGGTGGAACCGGCCACAGGAGAACCGAAAACCAAATGGAAAACATTGCAAAGCTGTCACGTTATTTGAAAAACAACAAGAAAACCCGAGCTTCATCTTCTACCCACTGCATTCCTACACCAACTACATCTCTATTCACTCAAGAACATTACCGCATGCCAAAGACTCATTGAAGTATGAATACATTCTTTAGGTGAAAGGCGGGCTTCAAATTCTCTGCAGATCTTCTATGTTTGTCAGCTACTGGCTGTAAATCTGTTTTTTAACTCACAATAAGAGTGGGTCCTTAACAATCAGAAACTCAAGGGAGAAAATAAATAGTAGGAGGGGGGAATTTTAATTTTAATATTCAAGATTTTTGTGCTTCCTAAAGATGATTCTTTTTGTAAACTGAACTTATGTGGGTGACCTTGGTCAATAAAAGTAGATTTCAGGTCTACAATTCTATAATACATCAACTGTATATTATTGTGTGTTCATCACCCCAAGTCAAGACTCCTTCAACTTAAGATTAATTTATTTTTCTAAATAAACATTGTACAGATGATTTTACTATTGATCACGCATCAAATGGATGTTGGAAACTTCATTTATAGAATACAAACCAAGAGCTTAGTTTGTTATTTCTTTACCTCTCACAAGCCCAGCACCCCTTGACGAGTCAGTCATGCTATTGATCTCCTAGTCATCGATCCTTTGCTCACAAGTGTACTCACCATGAGGAAATAGCCAATTAGCAGGACAGGCATTAAGAGGATGATGAGTAGATAGTCAAAGAAGGTAAATTTCTTCTTCACAGCATAATGCAAGCAGGTTCTCTCTTTCTGAAAATTAGAAGAGAACTCTTCATAAATAAAATGTCTCATTTCAAACTTCCTATTTTCAGATTACCCTATCAAGAAATTTAGTTTGTGCTTTTCATTCTTATGCTACCCATGCCACCTTTTTTTCTGTGGAATATGTCTTATTCCATTGATTAGAATATTGAACAGAGTAGAGTCTAAAGAAAAAACTGGGGGAGGGTCACAGAAATATAGCAGGTGAAATGTTCATTTTACAAATCATCAAAGTATGGATTCTCATACTCATCTTAGTTTTGGGGGAAAAAATACACTGAAGTTTAAACATAGGACTAAACTCAATATGGAAATCCTAATCATCAATGGTTACAGTTATTCATTTTGTGGTTTGTTCATAAAAAATTCTTAATCACATGGCAATTTTTCTGATTCTACATACATACGGGCAGTGCTAAAATAATGGAAATAACTCAATTTAATTCAAGTACATAAATATTTATCAAATGATAAACTAAAGTGTCTAAGGACTGTGAGGAATGGTAAGCCTCAGGGTCTCATAATCAACCAGGGGAGATGGAAGCATGCCCACGTAAGGATAATGCAGAACAGGCTGTTGTGAGTGGAATCAAGGAGATCAATGAGAGGACAGGGAAAGCCAGAGAGAGAGAGGGGGGTGAACTTCTACTTCTTCCACTTGGGGGAGGCACTTTTCTCAAATAAGACTTTGCTTTTCTAATATAAAGGTATATATGTTCTCTATAAAAGTTTTGTAAACTAAGCAAGAAGATAATAATAGAATGAATTTAAAATCACCCCTTATCAAACAGCCCAGAGTTCATTGTTGACATGTTGCTGTATTTCCTTTCAATCTTTTAAAATGCATATATGTGGAATTTTTAAATGTTGGTCTACACTGCATCTGCAAAATTATATATGCTTTTTTTCCATTAACATTTAGCATATGTGCATCTTTCCATGCCATTTAATGTTTTTAAACATATGACTGCAAAGGCTGTTTGGCTTCCTATTGAATAAAGCCATTCTAATTTATTTAGCTAAACACTACCTGTTAGACATTTGAGTTTTTAACATGTGATTTTCATAAACAAGACGGCTTGAACATATTCATAAAGATTTGTCAACATTTCTAAGTTTGTTTTAGCATAAGTTTCTAAAAATATAATTCCTGGGGTAAAAGGTATTCATGCTTTTCATATTGTGCTCCAGTAAAATGATGATTTAAACTTCCTTCCTGATCTGCACTTGATTTTCTTGTCTAAGCAGGGTCAATTTGACAAACTAAAATATATGTATATGTGTATCTATATCTATCTTTATGTTTTAATTTGCTTTCCATAGAATCAATCTTCTCTATTAAGCATGTGCATCTGAATCACTAGCAGAGCTTCTTGTTTGTTTTTAAGGCCTCTGTTTAGTTCTTCTGAAAATAACTCATAAACATAGATTTAAGAAATGAGAAACCACTGGTTCAAATTATTAATGTACAGAAGTTAGTATTTGGGAAAAATGAAAAAGGTTGAACATTTTAAAAACATTAAAATATTTTTAAACTAGAAAATGCAAACCACTTATTCTGATAAAATCTCTATTAATCTGAGGTATCCACTGAAATCCTTTCCATGATACTTATAATACAAGAGGGTCCCAGGAGGCTGGCTCAGGTTCTCTGCAAAACAGAGATAAGGGTGCCCCTCAGCCCTGCCCGTGTTGGCGAACATCTGCCTCCATCAGCTTCCTAAAAGTAAGTCTCTGAGAGAGGATGTGGGCTCATCGGCATCTGTTTTCACCACCCCCTCTGACCACAACTCCACGCACCTGGTTCTTCAGCTGGGTGCCCACGTCATACTCTACTAAGCTGCGGTTCTGTTAGATTCAGCCCAGACATGACTTGCTTTGAAACCCAACCAAACAAAAAAATAGTAAGCACAAGCAAGAAAGCCCAGCAATGATTTATTTTTCTGATACTACATTATTACTCCGAATGGCTGGTCTTTAAACTGAGTTGGAAGGTCCTACCGGCCGTTTTTCCCCATTAAATATACATGAGTGGATGTAAGGCATTCATAACTATTACAAAATAGTGACTTTTTGTGTTTACTTTGTGTGCTCTAAAGGTTGCCTTTACTATGATGCAGACACTGGAAGTTCCAAGGGGGTTCTGGAAGGATAGTCACAGCAATAGACACATGTTCTGTTCTTCCTTCACTGAGGACTCCACACCAGCTAATGCTGCATCTTTCAAGCCTTCCTATGTGACTTCAAGCAGCCTCTGGTTCATTAGCTTATTTGTCCTTGGCAAATCTTTCACTAGCATTCTTTTATTCTATAAGCAAACTTTAGAATCTTCTGGAGACGAATACATTGACACAGAAAGTAAAAACCCAACGAATGAACTAGCACCAGCCGGTCAATATTTTTCCCCCGGGAAATCTTTCCCATTACTCCTGTAATAGTGAGAGGAGGAGCTGGGAGAGAAGGGGGGGGGGCAAGGAAAAGCATGGGGAGGCGAAGGAAAGGAAGAGAAGCTGTATCCAGTCAAATGAGTGAACCATTCTCTTCTTTTTCAGAAGTACAAGGACATAATTAACCACAAAGTATGCCTGCTGATTGAATTATGTTTTAGTTTGTCTTCTAGCCTAATAAAATGTCATAATAATATGTCAGTCTCTCTAAAGTAAAGGCCAAAAAAAATGTTGTTATCAGGAGCTACAAGCGTGACATTCACTGCTTCCATTGACGCGAGGGGAAAGAAAGCACCATGGTCAGTTACTTGCTCTACTCCCGTCAGGGCCTCACCTGGTTTTTGAGGTTCACATCAGCATTTCTCCTTAAAAGGAAGGAAACGATCCGCAGGTGCCCCCGCCTACAGGCGCAGATCAGCGGAGTGTCCCCGTTAAAGCCATCTCGAACGTTGACGTAGCTGCTGTCCTCCCTCACCCACTTCCACACCTGACCAAAGTCGTTCTGATACGCTGCCTGGCAGATGGGCTGAGAAGAAACAAAAATAGATTTTGAAATATAAGCATAATTAAACCACAAAAAGAAGAAAAAAATCATTATCAGTCATTTAAAATTCAAGTGTTTCCAAATCGTAATGTATTGCTTTGTCAGTGAGATTTTTGGTCTCAGTTTTGCCCAGTGTTAAGTGTAGAACAAACATTGGGTCCCTAAAGAACCCCTTACGATTTCCTAAATTGCTTGACATACAGAAATGTACAAACTTTTGTACCTCCCCCCGCAAAAAAGGAAATATTTGACAACACAGGGTCCACATTCCCATAGGACACCAAATACAGCACCCTCTGCTCGGGCTCCTCAAAATCCTTACTAAGACTTAACTAAAACAAGAAAAGGAAAAACTGAATAGTTTTCCTGTAGTCACTTGATGTCTCTGAAAGCTTTCTCAGTCCCACTTGAGCGATATTATTTAAAATATTGACCTAATCTTATCTTTCAGTATTTCCTAGGCTTCTTGTATCCTAGATGCAGAGTCTTGTTTGTGAAAAGTAAAGCATATGCCTGGCCCAATTAGACATACGATTTGTTGCATGAATTGTAAAATCGCTGAAAAAATTCTATGCTGTTATAAATTCTCAGTCTCCACTAGGAGGCAGCTCAGTGTCATAAAAGCCCTGACAAGAGAAAGAAGGAAAACCCAAAAGTGTTGGTCGGCGAGCTAGGAAAGAGAGAGAATAGGAGGCTGTCCATTTGGGTTGAGGAAACAGTAATGAATGATCTTGGCCTCTAAAGTTCCTGGAACTTGGAGAAACTCAGGGTGTAGACGAAAACAATAAGAATTTGAGAATTTACCATTATAATTCTATCCCCCCAAACTCTCAGAACCCTTCTAGCCATCCTTACTGTCAAGGTATTAGTTCAGATCTTCATGGTTCTCACCAAGACTACAGCAGCTTCTTATCACTTCCCTGCTGGAAGCCTACAGTGGTGACCAACCAGATTAGGATGCTGTCCCCAAGCTGGCACATATGACTCTTCAAATCTCACAAATCTTATCTTTCCAACATCACCACCCACCACTCCCTATCAATATCCTTGACCTAACTAACTAAAGATGTGTGTTGTTAACAGCTATCTCCCCAACTAGATTGTAAACTCCATGAAAGCAGGTCTTGTGTCTGCATTTGTACAGCATTGTATCCCCAGCGCCCAGCATCCTGCATATGCCGGACAAAAAGTGGGCATTCAATATACATTTCATGAGTAAATAGGTAAGTGAATAAATTACAATGAGCTTTTATTGAGCACTTCATTTATTTCATTTAACCCTCACAGTGACCCTATAGGCTATTATTATTATATCCATTTTGTTCAGGTGAAACCGAGGGAGGCTGTCTGCCTTGCTAAAGTCACACAGCTCATAGCTGACAATGCCTGGAAGCAAATCAAGGGGAATGACTCTAGAATGCGTACTTTCTGGATCTAATTACTTCAGGCAATTTAAAAACAGCCTTCAGAATGTCTTCTGGCTAAAAAATCATGTGTTTGAGGCTTTTTTGGTTGCACTTGCACCCACAATTAAGCTACAGCCTACAGTCTCAGGAAACTCATCAGTCGTCTTCTGCCCTGGCCTTCTGGTGCCCAAGCCTTCTTGGTTATAGATCCAGATTCTTTCTCCAAATTCTAGAGACCTAGAAGTAGCAATATCTGCCAAGAGGTAAAGGCATGGTGGTCAGAGAGGTTGCAGGAGAAACCAGAAAAAAATATACGGCCTAGATGAAAATGTTTCAAGAAGAGATAGACTCAAGAGAATGAAGTACAAGAAAAGATTGCTGGATTTGATCATTAATGATCATTCAGAGATCAATTTTTATACAGTGATGGGGCAGAAGGCAGTACACAAGGGCCTGCACACACGGCCTATGAAGAATTAGAGGATGTTTTGGAGGGGAATTTGCGGTAAATTTGGCAGTGAAGGCTAAGAGGTTGCTCACGAGTACATAAATGGGTGTAGCAGAGTATGGCCAACATTCTGCATTTTGGAGGCAAAGTGGTGTGTTCAAGTGGTAATAAGCACAGGCTCTGGAAGCAAACTTCTGAGTTCCAAACTCTCTGTGCTCAGTTTCCTTCTCCATTTAATAATCACATCTTCTTTATCAGGTTACAGAAAGTATTAAAGGTGACTGTGTAGATGAAGCACTTAGCTCAGATCTGACTCACAATAAACCCTCAATTAATGCTAGCTACACTAATAATTATTACAACATAATGAGCCAGTGACGATGGCAGGGGTGGTTATGAAAGAGTAGATAATTGCCCAAAGAGACTGAAGAGGTGATAGGCTAGAGAGCAAAAATGGATGCGTGTGCCTTACTAAACAGAATGACCACTCTGGATCTAAGGCCAAAGCAAGGGAAGAAAGAGGGAGATTTGGAGTAGAGAGAACTTTATATTGTGTGATATTTTTTCCAGAAAGTCTGAGGTTCCATCTTATGTTTTATGTTAATATTTATTATAAATGAATAGACATAGATTACTTTGTAAATAGCATTTATGTTTACATAGATGAATGGGTTGATGGCATAGGAGAGGAAATTGTGGCAAGTGTGGAAAAGGCTCTTCAGCATGGTGGGGATATTTGGGACAGTCATAATGAAAGTGTCTACATGAGATGAATAAAAATATAAAATCACTTGAAGCATCAGGTTGTAGAAACACATTAAGAAGCTACAGTGGGCTGAGCCTACAGTATAGGTCTGTTACTTCCTTTAGCAAACCTATTGTCAGGGGAGGGTGGAGAACATGAAGGGGACAAAGAGCAAAGGTTAAAAAATATGTGTTAGGCAAGGGATAGGAGAGGAGAGGAGTTCACCATGGAATTCAGACTGAATGGCCAACATATGTAAACCAGGTAGAGACCTGTGGACTTGATGGGGAAAAAAGAAGAGAGAGAAGCAGGTAAAAACAGGGATGGATTGGAGCAGAGTCAGTACATGTGTTTTAGTGGGAATTATGACCAGTTAAGAAGTTATGACAGGAGACAGAGGTGCCAAATTCTAAGCATTGCAGACAGAACTTTGTCCAAAATGTGAAGTAGGGAGGTCTTGTTGGGTGGCTGATTTGGCGTAGACACAGAGGTCAAGAAATGGGGAGTGAATATTGTGGATATGGAGGCCACTAAGGATGACCCCGGGAAGAGAAAGAAAGGGAACACTGTGCTACACCATCAAGGAAGGGGTGTCCTGGAGCATGGTGGACAGATGTGAGAAGGTAGAGGAAGGGGCATAAGCAAAGACTTCAAGTAAGAAATTGAGCCACGGTCATAACACAGCAATGAACAAGGGGTGAGCAGACTGCACTGCAGGTCCCCACGAGGTTGCAGTGAAGGCACCGAGGAACACGGGCTAAACAGGTGAGGGGGACATTGGCGAGAAGGGGTAACTGTGCTCAGCCTTGATTTTCCCCTCACTGCTAATATTCCTCGTAACCCAGTGACTGCTGGGACCTTCCTTCATGTTACATAAATGCTAACTGGGTCAAAGACAAGCTTTAAAAATAATTCTGTGCCTTTTTTTTGTCTGAAAGAAGAAATACACTAAGAAATTTTAAAATCACAGTAGTGAACAAATGAGTTGTTAGAAAGAAAGGCTTGGAATCAATCGTGCAAATCAAATGAAACCTAACAGGTGTTCACTATTGTTCTCTGATTTCTTAATTTTTAGAAGAAAAATATATTTTTTCCTTTTGTGGGAAGAGACTTCATTAGTACATAAGGCTCTTTACCAGAATCATTTTGCTTCAAAACCCAACAAATCCTCCTTAGAAATTGTTCTGGCACATTTAAAATGAGATGGTTGATGTATAACTTATCCAGTCCTCTGATCCTCAGGCAGGGTTCCCCAGGATCCTTCTTTAGACTGGGAATTAGGGAAGACTCATTACACTTTAGGGAAAACAGTACCAAAAAGTGGGATGGGGTGGAAACTTTGTTTTTGGAGCCATCTATAATGGCAAGTAGCTCAGATATTTCTATATTATTAAAGTAATACCAAGTATTTTTCTAGCTGTGATATCTATGATACTTGGAGCAGTGGCAAATGTGACTATGTTAAATAACATATTCAGAATATTTTAGTTAATCATCAACATGCTGGGTATGTCATATACTACCCAGAGACATGGCTTAAAATTTAGGGCCTGGGAAGTTGGGACAGGGGTGGGGCTCTAGCACCAAGTTCTTGACCCCTTAGTGGGAAGACTAAAGTATACAAAAAGTTGTTCTTAATATTCCAAGTTTCCAGAGTTTTGATTGCTCCTTACCTAGTAGGACTGTAAGTTGCAGTGTCTCATTATGGCTTTGTAATCACGATGGGGGCTTCTTTCACCTTTGCAATGGTTCTCAACCCTCAGAATCACTCAGGGAACTTTGAATAGCCTTACCTCCATATACTTTGTTTATTTATTCATTTATTTATTTATTTTTTAATATATCTTTATTGCTTTCAGAGAGAGGAAAGGAGAGGGAGAGAGGGAGATAGAAACATCAATGATGAGAGAGTCATTGATCGAGCCCACAGCCCGGGCACGTGCCCTGACCGGGAATCAAACCCCAATCGCCTGGATCCTAGGTGGACACTCAACCGCTGAGCCACGCCCGGCCGGGCCCTCCATATATTTTGATTCAAAAATCAGGTAAGTAGTGGAACCTGAGCATGTATTTTAAAAGTGCCCTAATGCTTAGCCAGGGTTCAGAACCACTGAGCTATTATTTTCTAAACCTCAACCCCTTGCCTAACCTCAGTTCCCCAGCCAGGTCACAGCTGATCAGTGTGTCAATCAAGGAGAGATTTTTTCCATGTTCCAGGTGCTCATCACTATGGGAGCCTGACTTCAGGAAGGCTGCAGTCTAGTTAGGGACACTGGACTTAACCTACTGGCAAAAGGTCAGTGAGCAGCCTCAGGTACTGCATAGCTCTTGCTATAGGTAGGAGACAACAAGGAGGTTTCTTAGACATGAACTATGAGCTGGGCCTTGAAGGATACACAAAGCAAGTTGAAAGGTGGAGGGTGAAAAGCAGGTAGCTCAAAGATTGGAGTGAGGAGAGTGGTCTGAAAGAGAAGTGAGAGCATGCAGAAGATCAGAGGTTGGCCAAAGAGAAACGAGACTTTGAAAACCACCAGGCAAAAATCATGGGTACCTTACTCTCTAGGAAATGGGGGACATTAAGCCCAATTTCAGTAATTATAAATGCAATTTTAAAAAATAAAATAGGATGATGTGATAGAGAGAGTGCCGTGGCTAGGAGATGGTCCCTTTAGACAGAGTGGTTGGGGAAGGCCTCTCTGAGGAGGTGACACATGATTTGGCCTAAGTTAAAGCCAGGCATATAGCTAGCTCACAAGCAAGTTCAAAGACCCAAAGACAAGAACATGGAATGCTCCAGAACAGCTGGAATGCTGTGAGCAAAGACAAGAGTAACAGATGACACTGGAGAGACAAGTTAGTTTATCAGCGGGCTCTATTAACTCTGTGCCTGTGTTTTCTATTCTTTCTGCAACAAGGTCTGCTTGAGAGAGGATGTGGTCCTCAATGCCAGGAAGCTAAAGAAGCCCCATTGCCACACTTCAAAGCCGAGAAGGTCTGAGGTCACGGTGAGGAAGGCCAGGAAAGGGCAAGCAAGCCTTTGCCTCCAATGGTGAGGAGAAAGGGTGGAGGAAGAGTGGGTTCTAGCTGGTAGAATCCAGCAAATCAAAAGCCCTGAAACCTTTCTGCTACCTCAGGCCACCAAAGAGGTGAATGTAGAGCCAAGAGGAAGCACTGTGTGCTCATAAGTGGGTAACGTCTGGTTCTCCAGAAGGAGGTGGTGGAAAAGAAAGAAAACCTTTGTGGTGTTTGTCAATCTGAGTGGTGTAACTACTCCCACCTGGCTGATTTCAAACTACCAAGGAGAGGTCCCTGAACTTGGAGTTGGGCAAAATCAGCTCTCATAACAAACCAGTTCAAGTTGGCTCCAGCTGACTCTACCCAGCACACCACCAACAGGAACTGACGTATCGTCCTAAGACTTCTCTGTGCTCTCTGCCCCAAAGAAGGGTGAGCTGGGGAAGGGCCCAGGACTCGAACTCTTAGTAGCCAGTGTCTCCAAACACTCAATGGACCAAAACAGGTATTTTTGCACTAAGTTGTTTAGGAGAGAAATTACAAAGAACAGTAAAAAATTAATAGTTACAATAGGAACTGTATACGAACTTTTCCTATATGCCAGCTACACAGCTAAGCACTTCACCAACACCTCATTTCATCCTTACAGCAATCTTGGTGGGGATAGTTATCATCACATTTGGCCAATGAGGAAACTGCAGCTCAGAGCTGTTATTAACCAGTAAGAAGCAGAACTAGAATTCATACTCTGATCTATCTAACTCGAGAAACAGTGTTTTAACCTACAGTGACTCTCCCACCCTCATGCTTCCCTATGCACAAATTCATTATGAACCCCACCCACAAAAGTTCCAGAAGCTTCTATAGCTCTTGGTTATGTTCTTCCATTCAATTAAGAGACCTTGAGCTCCCAATGTTCACCAGATACTGTGTGAGGCTCTAGGGATACAGAGATGAATAAACCCCCATAGGCACTCACATGGGTACTTATCACATTCCTGCATCACATTGCAGTTGAAATGTATCTCAGATTCACCCATCGGCCTAATACAACCCCTATTGCCACCCCAGTATGACAGCTTCATTCCAGGCTCCCAGCTTCCCCTCTTGCAGCTCTCCAATTTATTCTTCCACAGCTACCATGGTGACCTTTTAAACGGTAATTGGGTCATATCATTCCATTCCTCTTCCTACAATCCTTTCATTGCTTTCCATTGTCTTTAGAATAAAGTCGAGATTTCTCATCTTGGCAAACAAGACCTGCATGATCCGGCCCCTGACAACATCCTTGCCCCCTTCAGTTCCTGTCACTCTCACTGCCTCCCACAGACTTCCTGGCACAATCAGAACTAAATTCTAGGTTTTCTTGATTTCCAGTCCAATAGCCTTCCCATTAATCACAACTCTATTGTGTCTTCCCTGAGTCCTCCTCAACTCTACCAACTCCCCCAATAAGCCCTGCTCAACCTAAATTGTGCTCTCTGGACACTGTATATTTCAAAACAACTCCTCTCTTCTTTGAACTACATAGCTTTTTTCTATGGTAGCATCTGAAAAATAGACCCGTTCCTAAAAGATTAATATTCATGGTGTGTGCACATGTATGTTGTGTACTGCATGCATATACATGTTGTGTGTGTTGTATATCCGTCTGCTCATAGATAACCTTATCATTAGACCTTCCCAAAGTTTAAAGAGATGCATCATTATGATATGATTTTTAAGACATTCCTTTTAAAGCCTGTGTCCCCAGCTGACAGTCAAACATCTACAGAAGATTCTATAGTTCTGGTAAGTATGAATTCCTCAGCTCTTTGAGTAAAGTTCTTACACATCTTCCTTTTCTCCAATTTTTGCCATACTTTGCAGTGCAATATTCTCGTCATTGATGTTTCTGTCTCTCTCCCTGAAATCAATAAAGAGATATTAAAAAAAAAAAAAAAAGTCCCGCTTATGTAACTGGGTTGATTACTCCAAGCCAGGTTCTCTCACTGAGCACCAAGCACAGCCTCTATTGCAGATGGTAGGCCTGACCCTGAGGTGCCCCCTCATTCTCCCTTTCTTTCTTAAGAACATATTAGAAACAGTATAAATGCCTGTTGATGGATGAAATGGATTTTAAAAATGTGGTACATACATACACACACAATGGAATAATACTCAGCCATAAAAAGAAGGAAATCTTGCCATTTGTGACAACATGGCTGGACATCGAGGGCATTATGCTAAGTGAAATAAGTCAGAGAGAGAAAGATAAATATTGTATGATCTCACCTATACGTGGAATATAAAAACAAAACAAACAAACACTGCAACATGTGAATATGGAGAACAGATTGGTGGTTTTCCAAGGTCAAAGGTATAAATTTCCAGTTATAAAACGACTAAGTCCTGGGCATGTAATGGACAGCATGGTGACTATATGAAAAACACCATACTGCATATTTGAAAGCTGCTAGCAGGGGGGATCCTGAAAATTCTTATCATAAGAAAAAAATATTTGTAACTGTGTATGGTGATGGATGTTAACTGGACTTACTGCGTTGATGATTTTGCAACATATACAAATATTGAATCATTACATCATATACCTGAAACAAATATGTTATGTCAATTATATCTCAGTTTAAAAAATATTATCATCATATATACATATATCATGTATATAGAGTGTCCCCAAAACTGTATACATACACTTTGAATAATTATAAAGGCAGTGTTTATTAAAATACATTTCACTTTCAAAATTGAGCTATCAGCTGTTAAAGTGTTTATATATTTTTGTATAAATGATATACATATACATAAATCAGAAGTATTAGCAATGCAAGGCTCTGAAGGGTAGTAGAATATTCAACCCAAAATATGCCTCTCAGCATGAAGATTATTTTGAGCTAAAGGCAATTGAGGAGCTGACACAAGGAAAGCTCTCCACCCTACACCCATTTAGCTAAAAGCAGAACATAAATTTGTGACGTTCCCCCATCCCTCTTTACCAGGAAGGACAAAAGTTACCCGACCAGAGAAGGCACCATCTACATAACAAAATTTACCAGCTGGCCCTTATCTTCCATTAGCTCCCCTATACCCGCGCCTCCCCATAATCCACCACTCCCAGAAAGTCTGTTTCCTCCGTCTTGCCACTTAAAATGTACTGTTCTTTCCGTAAGATGCTACATGAGCCCCTGTTCTAACCAGGCTGAGTTACTCATCCTGTATGCACGCAGGATGCAGGTGTTAATAAACTTCTGTTTGTGTTTCTCTGGTTAATCTTTCTGTTGTCAGGCTATCTTACAGGGCCCCAGCCAATGCACCTAAGATGAGTAAAGCAAAAAAGGCATTTTTTTCTCCCCTACAGCTTTAAAGAAAAATGATAAGCCTGTGTGTCCAATCTAGAAGAGCTTCCCACACTCCAAGAGGTAAGTTAATTTTACTAAAAGTTTAGACGAAAGTAGCTGTGTCAAGGCAGGACAGAACCAGGCGTGGGAAAAGACTGGACATCTCTTGTCCTGTTCTTCCTTGTGGCTCACGTTCTTTCTACCTGGGAAATGCAGGGTGACTAGTGCGGGACACATGAGAGACTGGCACACGACAGAGGAGTAGGCAGCGTTTAAATAGTTGAGAGATTACTCCAGAGCTTCTCAGCCTCTTTAAAATTATCTATGGGAGAGTGTCACGAGGGTTGGCCCCAGACCGTCTGCATCAGAGCAGCAGAGGGTGAGGCGAAGCTTGTTGTTTTTCTCTTTCCTCTCACATGCAGCTTCCAAATGCACCTGGAAGAAGCGACCCACGCGTTCTTCCCATCTAAAAGAGCCCATTACTCATCAGCATTTTGCATCCATCGCTGAAGTCAGATTCTGATTCTGGACATTTCACAGCGTGGTGTCAGTCCAGAGATCAAGAAGCTGACATTCTGGGATATCAAGGATTTTCTAAATCTTTGGCAGAATCAGGGCAGCTCTCAAATCCACTGCCCTGGGATCCCGCGAAAGCTGTCCACTGAAGACGAGACAAAAGCCTCTGCGGGGTTCAGCGAGGGCACCCCTCCCGCTCGGGAGCACCCCCGGGCCGGGGCTGCGGGAGCGAGTAAGGC